GACCGTGACGGGCCGGGGCCGTGCGACGGTGAAGGCACGGCCAAACATTGTCAAATGTTATTTATACTTATGCATTCATGCTAAGCCGAGCACGGGCCGAGCTGCGCCGGAACGCGTCCGTGCCCCGTCCGAGAAATGTCGGTGTACATTTTTCCTCGGATCCGCTACGGTCCGGCCCCGTTGCGGCAAACATAAATGAGTCGCCCGGGCTAAATACTTCGTTCATCTACGGGCCTATAGCGGCTGTTTTCTAGCAGTGTTGCCGCACCCAACTTTTAGCGCGTACCACATTATAAACTAAAAATGTACCACTTTGGTACAATTTTTTAAAGCACAACAAAATACATCTGCATATGACTTTAACCGGTTTGGTCGCTGTGAATTTCTTCATAAATTTCTACATAAAAAAACTTCCTGGAGAAAGACACAAATCGAGACGAAAAACATGAAATAGAAATTCAGAAAACCCAATTATAAGTATGTATAGGTTGAAGAATTCTAAGTAATTCTAATACTACACACAATACTTGGAAAACTTAAATTTTATTTAAAAAAAACGCAAATATAGAAGCATGTTAGAAACAGTAAATTTTCAAGTTTTTTCTTCGGGTTATTTAATATAGGCAACGCTATAGACATTACAACGTTTATAATACGTCGTTAATTAATGCGGATTTTCTCCGAATGGTATCGGTAAGCGCGTTTAATGCAATATCAACGACAATAATTATTAAATATCTATTCAATTTCGGTGCGCGTGGGAAATAATTATTGTACCAAATCATCCTGGATTTGAAAATGTAGTACTACTGTACCAAATAGAATTAAAAGTATCAAATTTGGTACAAATGTACCACTGCGGCAACACTGTTTTCTAGAATATAATCGGCACGGACATGATCCCCGTTGTCAACCCGGTGTAGCATATATTGAAGGCCCGGACGTGGCTCGGTGTCTACTTTACGGAACGTGCCCGGCTCGGGTACGGCCCGGTGTACCATGAATCAGCCTTTAATCCATAACTTTCCCCACGTATTTTTACACACAAAATGGCAGCGATCTTCATTTCCAAGCCATCGCTCTCGCCGTCTTTTTCGATCGCATGGTACTATATAAAAATAACAGTAAGTTGGTTAAATAAAGTTGTATAATATATTTCATTTAATTTAATCAAATGCCATACAAGGGAATGCAAAAACAAACGATTTTACAAGTAAATATATTAAAAACATATTTGGACATGATTGATAATATTCCTATATTTAACATTTATTGCATTGGTTATTTACTCATATTTATTTTAAAATCTATAATTATACATAGAACCTATATATATATATTTAGAGTATGCTTTATTAAAACCAATCCTATTAATACATAAAACAACAAATTATAACAGGCAATGATGGATAATTATGCCGTGTTTGTTGATACTCAAAGCTATCGAAAAATAATTACTTATTACAAGCATTTGAAACCTATTATGCATTAATTAATTTTGTATAATTAATAATATTTTACTTGGTTAAAACAGATAATATTTAAAAGCTACCGAAAATTGTATAAATCGTAATCCAATTGGTAAAAATATAATTATATTAGATTAATAGTCTATCTAGTATATTATGTCTCTTTATTGGTTTATTAGATACCCAGTAATAATTAAACAACGCACACCGCCAATATGGGAGCATTCTAGAATAAATTAGATTTATTAAGTTATTTTAATCTTGGATTTAAAGAAATGATTAAGATTCTATAAAAATTTGTCCAAAACATGTTCAATCAAAAAAAAAAATTATTACTACTACTGCCATTACTCGATGGCGAGTATTTGATACGTATCAGAAGATGGTTACGCAAGGCGTTATCTTTAATGATCTTTTCTATTACTGAAAAGCCCGATAGGTTGTTGTATATACGTTGTATGTTCTCTCTCTTCCGCACTCCGGACATTCAAAAATCTCATTGCTTTGTTGTCTCTACTTTTGGGTTATCGCTGTTAACTGAGTTTACATTTTTCTCCATTGCATTCTATTGTGCGCTGTTTCTCCACAGTGATTCTGCTTGTCTATCCCCTTTAAGTTTTCTTGGCAAATATCTTTGTACCTTTTGAGTTGTCCACCCGGTTTCCTCTTACCGTCTACAAGCTCACCGTACAGAAGAGATTTTGGCAGGCTATTATTATTGTATTATTATTGCTAGCTACACTGCAAGTTTGGTTTTTGTGCTCAAATCAAGATTGTAGAAAACCCTGTGTTTTAATTTCCAGAATGTTCTTGATGCGCTGCCAATCCAGTGCTGAATTTCAGAGTCGTTAAAAAAATTATTATGAATACAAATTCAAACGTTTTCATTAAACACTGAAAATCAAACAGAAATGCAGTACATTAATATACGGTATCTTGTAAGTATTCTAAAAATAAATAACTATGTGGAGCATCCTACAAAAAAAATTAATAATGCAGTAATAAAAATGTAAGAATATTTTTAAAACACTTTTTTATGTACAATTTTATTGAAACTAATGTAAATAGTAGGTAGAGTTGATTATAATGAGTTTAGAATGGTTAGCTAAAAAAAAGTTAATAAAGATACACCCCTAAAAGTATTAAAAAATTCTAACTAGAAAAAATACGCACTCTTTGTATTAATTTGTTATAACCTTTATTTCCTTAAGTAAAAAACAAACATGACACATCATTGACCTAAAGTTTAATATTGTTTAATATTTAAACAATAAAAATAGTATCATATTACTTTAACACGCTTAATATTTGATTGAATTCACTACTTATATTGTATTTTTTTTCACTTGATATTAGTGTCTCAGGTAGAGTATGTAACTAGTACATTTACATAATTTTTAATACTTTTAGTTTACTTTTTCTTGGACTTTTGAAAAATATCTAAATTTAAATGTCTCTCATATCTCAAAAAATTATGCAGGAAATATTATAAATTCTGATATCAAAGAGTAATGATCAAGCACGACAGAAAAACAATTCTCATAGAAAAATACATTAGAATATTTTTAACTGTCAAAGTCGAAATCTACTTGATCTTTTTTAAACATTTTGGTCATGCAATATACAGGGTGGTCCGAATTGTATTCCGGAAAGTTCGGCAGCATATTCTGAAGATAAAAATAAGTAAAAAAGAAAAAGTTCGTATAAATGTATGTCATAAAATGCTAAGTTTCGGAGATACAGGGTGTAAAAGTTTCATTTTTTTTCGATTTTTTGCAAACAATTTATGAAGTAACGTCAATATTTGGATGAAAATTGGTACCTGGATCTTTTTTATATGAGAAATTTGATTTTGATGTCAATATGACTCCTACTTGTAGAGGGCGCTACCTACATATGTTTTAACTGGTTTGAAAAGTAATAACTTTTCGTCCGTACATGTATAAAACTACTGAGTAAAAAAATATACATTTACGAAGTCTTTTACGTAAAAAATGTCTCTTGGTAAAAATCGCTACGAGTAATGGTTCTCGAGATATTTGGAATCGAAATTATCAATACCTATCATAATTGACATTAATTAAACATATGTCGACTAAATAGTTATTGGACTGAAATCATTTGATTTAAATGTTTTTGTGCCAAAAGTTCAACAGAAACTATTTTATCATCATTTTTTCGCAGCAAAGTTTATGATTGATTTAAAAAAATAAAAATTTCTCAAATCTATTATTTCAGTCAAGTAACTATCTACTCAACGTGTTTATTTTTTGTCAATAATGACATGTATTGACTATTTTCATTCTAAATATCTTGAGAACGGTTGCTCGTAGCGATTTTTACCAAGAGACATTTTTTACGTAAAAAATCATGGAAATGTATATTTTTTCACTCCATAGTTTTATACAGGTACGGACGAAAAGTTATTAGTCTTCAAAACAGTTAAAACACATGTAGGTGGCGCCCTCTACAAGTAAGAGTCATATTGACATGAAAATCAAATATCTTATGTCAAAAACCCAAACGACACCAATTTTCATCCAAATATTGACGTTACTTCAGAAATTATTTGGAAAAAATCGAAATAAAAATGAAATTTCTACACCCTGTATCTCCGAAAATAAGCATTTTAGGACATACATTTATACGAACTGTTTTACTTATTTCTATCCGCAGAATATGCTGCCGAAGTTTCCGGAATACAGTTCGGACCACCCTGTATATGTTACGGTTAAAGTCTGATGTCCGGTTAATGTCAACATTAACAGGTTAGGTTATGTTTTTGGTTGTTTTGTTGTATGTTATTCTCGAGATTAACCGGGGTAATGTCGACATTAACCGGACATCGGACCTTAACCGTAACATATACATATATACAGGGTGAGTCTTAAATAAGTGCAAATATTTTCAGGGCTTGTAGATCTCGATTAAATGAACATATTTTCTCTTCACCATAATAAGTCCATAATAACCGAATTATGTTATTTTGAAAAATTCCAAAAAAAAAGATTTTTTGCTTAAACTTTGCGAACCACTGGATCTTTTCTGGGTTTTCTTTCTTGAAAATTTAATCTATTATCTATGTTGCCATATTATCAAGAAATTATTTTCAAAAAATGTTTCAAAAAATTCTAAATTATCAATTTTTTTCGCGAAAAAAAACTCATAATCGGGATTCTGGGGTCGAAATATATAACCTCTAAATAATAAATATCTGAACTTATTTAAAACTCACCCTGTAATCAAAAGCAAGACTTTTGATTTTTAACATTACAGTTCTGGACACCATAACATTTTTTTCCGTTTCATGTGATAAATACGAGAGAGACTGACAATCTCTGTAACGTAACAGCCAAGAACCGAAAAACAAAGCATAATTAACTTTCAATTTTGCATTAAAATCGCTTACAATCCTTCTAACAAAATACTCTCTGAAATAGACACAAGGCTCTTAAATACTTCGTTATCATCTTATAATATCAAATAGAGCATAACCTTCCACAACTTAATGCATCTTTCTATTTTTTTCAGCTACCAACCTCAATCTTTCGCCAAAAGAAGAAACCCCGCCCAAGCCAATCAAGCAGACGATAAGCTGCAACACTCTACGAGTTCCAGAAGAAGGAGCAACATCTGTTACAGTGCTAGAGGAAGATATTCGGATAGCTTTCGAAAAGGAAGGGAAAGCCGATTCTCCCAGTAAGCCGTACAGTCCGGGAGTGTTTCTGAAAACGTTCTTCAAATTCGACCAGGAGAAAGTGACTAAAAAGCCCAAAGATCCAACGGAAACTAGCCCTAAAAGGTTAGAAGGAATATATAGATGTAATGAATGTTTTTGTATTGACAAACAAGGTAAACTAATTTTATGTACGCTCAGTATTTATTAAAATAGAATGTGAATATCGGTATTCTTTAAACTCTTCTTATAAATCTTTAAATTAATTGAGCTTTTTTAGATATGATTGTAGAGTCCAGAAGTCAATCAGTGTAAGTCAGTCACCAGGTATATTCAGAAAATGATGTTTAAATATCGGGAATTAAAATCAAAATCAAATTGTCTTTCTTTAATATTATGAAAGATGCAGACAAGAAAGTCATACAAATTGACTTTCATTTTTAAATCCAGTTTTTAAGCCCCATTATCTCAATGCAATTGGTGATTGACTTACACTGATTGACTTCAGAACTCTCAAGACAGGGTCCGGCAATAGTGCGTCTGGCATCTGTAGGTCCTAGAAAAAAAAACTTTTGGGAAAATTTTGTTTAAGTGCTAACCCAAATAATAGAATGTATTTCAGAAAAATATTTTAACTTCTACAGAGTGGCTCACAAAAAGTGTGAGTGGATCGGGATGATTTTTAAATGGAACACACTGTATATTATTGCATTCTTGGCTTCTTTTCAGATCACTTTACATAATCCTAAGATATGAGGTTTATTATGAGATATATTTAGATAGTTTCAGAGATATTAATAAATAAATAAAAAATATATCGTCGGTGAAATGTGATAAACTGCTAACTCCATTATTCCTAATTTTAAATAAGAGAAAAGAAACGGTACAAAAAAAGTACACATGTAGCAAGTATATTCATGCGTTAATATGATAAAGAGATAACAATAATATTTGTTGGGGGACCCACAAATTGTTTGTTACCTGACGATATATTTTTCAGCCTTTTTTAAAAAAAATATTAAAAATACAGAATACTGTCCTGAAATCAAAACTATATTATGTATTTACGTTAGATGGTCTCTACTTACTTTTCTATAAATATCGTAATCTTAAATCATACAGGATGTTCAAAATTCTACGCCAAACTTTCTAAAATATAAAATAAATTTTCTTCGTTTTTTTTTAAATGGAACACCCTGTATATTATTTTTTAGTAAATGGAGAATTAAAAAATAAACATTTTTTGTATTTAGAGTATTTCAAAATTTTTTCGATTTCGCAGATATTCGCGGTTTTATATTTCATATATTTCACTTCATTGACGTCGTAAAATCTGTAAAATTCTTAGGGCTTGTTGTAGACAATTCTCTGAAATGGGACATGCATATCGACGCTTTGTCGAAAAAATTAAGCTCTGCCTGTTTTGCATTAAGATCTGTTTCTAAGGAGCTTAACTTGTCAGTGGCTAGAACTGTTTATTATGCACTTTTTGAGTCGCACCTCAGGTATGCCCTTCCATTCTGGGGTACGTGTTGTGCGACTCAATTTAACCAGCATTTTCAAGCTTCAGAAGAGAGCTGTTTGATATTCACTGGGACTAAACAGCAGAACTCATTGCCAGGACTTTTTTAAAAAATTAAAAATATTGACTCTTCCTTATTTATATTTGAATCCGTTTGCCTAATACGTAAGCATGTATCAGCTTCTCAAGAAAGGCCATCTCACACTTATCCACTCAGGAACGCGGAGCAAGATTTTTATCTACCTACCCCACGCTCAGAGTTAGTTAAAAATTCAATATTATACAACTCGAAAAAAATGCACAATCACCTGCCATTTGAAATCAAATCCTTAACATCATTTTCTTCATTTCGCAAAGCATTGAACTCTTATTTACTAGACAAGGCTTTCTACACCGTAAATGAATTATATTTTGAAAATCGAATTTGATCTTGTAAACACTGGTCTAATGTTTGCTATTGCTATATTTACTAATGACATTGAAATAAATTTATTTAGAGGTCATTGATATTTATATTTACTAATAAAAACTAACTAAATATTTTTGAATATTATTTTTATTTTTTTGTTCTTTGACATTGTAAACATTTATAAATGTTTATATTAAACAATAAGACTGACAATATTATTTCTATAATGTTTTATATTATCTTTTGTTTGTTCGTTTGTGTACTTTGTTGTTTACTTTGTTTGTTTTGTTTACCTTTGTCTACAAATTGAAAAAATTTTTGACAATAAAGGCATTTATATTTATGGCATTTTTCTCAGTAAACTTTTATCAAAGCTACCCAATGATTTTTCTCTCGTATTTTACCGTTGAAAGAGTCATATGAAATAATACCGCCTGTATCTGCGAAACCATTAAAAATTTTGAAATACTTTAAATGCAAAAAATGTTCATTTTTTAACTCTCCATATAACCAAAAATAATATACGAGATGTTCTAAACAGGGGCGGCTTGTCCTATGAGGCAGATGAGGCAGTGCCTCACCAATACATTTGAAAATTACACTTATTAATCGATAGATCTTTAATCACAATTTTATATTTTTTTCCCTATTTGCATTAATAATAATTGTATTTTTTAACCGTCATTCTACAATAATTCCTTTAAACGCGCTTCCTATGTTCCTATCCCATATGCGACAAACTCGACGATGTATATCCATCTCATTTGTTCTTTAAGAGGTATATGTGCAGAGGTTTGCCTCTCGCCTTTCCTTGTCTAGCGTATTGTGGTATATCGCACTGATGGAGAGACAGCGTTCACTGGAATCTTAACTCTGTAGAATGAAAAGAAAAAGCATAGGCAAAACCTTTAGTTGAAGAGAGATAAAATGTATGGAGTAGTAGCGCGGAAAAAGACCGTATTGAGGCGGGCCTCAAATGTAAATTTGAACTTTAAAAGCCGTTTGTTAAAAATATGTATCACTTCCCGATCAGTTCCCGATCAGCCCGAGAGATTTTAGGCGACACACATAGGTCATTTTATGTATTTTAGGAATTAATAAATAAAAAAATTGAATGTCGAAAAAAATATTTTTTTATATTTCATCTTGGAGGTAGGGCCCCATAGATATTATATCTGCGATATTATATTTTAATATTAACAGAAGTGGCCATCATAAAATAATTAACTAGAAAGAAGTGTCAACTCTGTGTTAAATCGTGGAAACACGATACGCCACCGAAAGCCTTCGTTGTCGTCTGGAGAACTAATTTTCCAATTGACAGGTTGACATGATAAGGACATGATGGCTTAATTCTCATTTCCGTTTCCGGTTATTCAATGGCGGGTCCTCTTTCAGTTCAAATGTATTTTGTATTTTTTCTTTTCATAAATAAAACCAAAAAATTATTTATTCACATATATTTATTTGAAATATGGAACAACGTGACTAAATAAATATAAAAATATAGAGGATTGTATTGTTTCAATACCAATTAGTTAATTATATGTACTTTTAACGTAAATTAGTTAAGGTATAAGAATGACTTACAGTAATTTGTAAATAAACACACGTATTCGCAGACTTCAAGGGCAGAAAACGGACACAGGAACATGAAAACGGGAGCCTTATACAAAAACCTGAAAACAGAAAAACAATTTTTTATATACTAAAATTAACAATGTAAAAATAGCAATAGGTATAAAATATAAATATACTGTTTAAAAAAGCGTCCATTATTCCCAAAGAGGCCTGGCTTATTAATCAAAAAGAAGCAAAAAGAGAATTAATAGTCGGATAACATAATCAGATTATCAGTCCGATTTATTGCATTATTGACGATAAATCGCACATACTGGAGATAACTAATGTTGGCTATAGTTAAAAATGATCTTACCTTGCTGTAAATTGCTTCCATTTTCAGAAAAATCGCCGATCAAAGATATTATAACACCATTTTCTTGCATCTAAAAAATGTAAAAACAGTGTTTATTTAATACCTATTTTTCATATACATAAAACTACTGCAGAAACGTCATTTTCTCAAGGATTCTTCATGTAATATATATTATATATACTTTATTACCATTATATTTATAAATTTCAGCCGAAATATTAAATTGAACTTCCAAAACGAAACTAAACGGAATGAATTAAAATGGCGTCGAATATTTTCAATTTGTTCTAGAACAAATCTGAAGTTGTCTCTGAAACTGAAATCTGTCAATTATAAACTGTGAAGTTAGACAATAGTTAGACAAAAACAATGCTGTCCTTGTCTAGGCGGCCATACTTGTCGTGAGGAGAATGACAGGAATGACACTAATGACTGTTTCCAATTTTCCTATTTCACTGTCACCCCCCTGGTGGCCATGGCCAGAATGACAATGTCAAAGTTTGTTTGAATTATTTCGCATAGTAAAATTACTGTCATTAGTTCATAAAGTTTCGAATTTTGTTGTTACGAATAGAAGGTGAGTTTAAAAAGTAGTGTTGTGTTATTGTGTACCATAAGGTAAGATTTATTATTAAAAAAAATAATATCCGTTTAAAAAGCTTGTGACTTGGCGAAAAGATACAATGTTTTAATAATAAGAAAAAAATAGTTTTTTTTCATAACTTTGTATTTAAAAATGTTTATAATTCAGGATTTATACAGATTTATTTCAAGAACATTTTTTTCGTATTCACAATCATTTTATCGATTAATCTATCCTAAATTTAACTGCCAAGATGTGCCAAGAGTAAATATATATATTGTTTTAGGTACCATGTCAATAGAAAAATCTCTCTTGTTTTCTGCTTGGTGTGAAGGCAATTCTTTGAAGAACAAAAATGCATCTGTTTTGCCATTTGTTCTGAACACGCTAAATTTAGGGCAACATGTTGGCGACGAACATTATAATGAAATAGTGAAAATTATTAAAAAATGTAATTATTATTATTATTACTCTTTGTCTAAATGTGTGGGAACACGGTCAAATAAGGAACCATTTATCAAAGAAGTTCTTAATTTACTTCGAGAGCGTACTTTACAGGCATCAGAGTTTGATGAAAATATTAGTCAGGATGATGATATCATCGATATTATGTCTCTAAAAGGGTACCTACATAGTGAGGCATCTCGATGCGATGTTCGCCGCGATGCATCCTACGCGCACTTACTCGTTTGCAGTGCTTAGAACGTGCGCGTAGGATGCATCGCGGCGAGCATCGCATCTAGATGCTTCACTATGTTTGTACCCTTAGTAGTGACGAGGATATCGATAGTGATTAAATAAAAATATTATTACATAAATTTCTCTAGTAAAATAGTGTTATTATCATTTTATTTATATTTGTTAAATGTTTTAGGTTGTTTTTTTCATTGTTCAAGCTAATTTTTACTTTCAATTAACTTTAAAATTAAAAATTAAATTTAGTAAACCTTCTAGATACTAATAAATTCACTTACAAAAAAGTAACGAACTACAGTTTTTGTTTGAGTTCGATATAATAAAATGAAAAAAAAATAATATATTTCGTAAGACACCCTGTACAAGCATAAAATGAAAGAAAATATCATTATCCACGCATTTATTTATTTTCTTACCAAACAAATTTATTTTTGTTTTAAAAAATAATTTAAATTTTAAAGGCATTATTTATTACCGCCTAAATTGGCGAAAATGACCTATGTGCGACAGGCTGAAAATGCAGAATTGCATTATTTGGGAATTTGGCTTAGTTTGAATCAGAGTTAATTAATTCTGCAGGTTATTACACTGTTTTGTCTACGTTTTTTAATGTGAATTGCATGTTTAATTACTCTTTTTACTGATTATTGTACATATAAAGTAAATACCTAAAAAGTGGGCAGTGACTTATTGTTGATTGATATGATGATGTAGAGGGACCATGCATCATCAGAGGACTTCCCCAGGTAAAGTTTTTCGAATCATTTCTAGATAAATTGTGTATAGTCAAAAAGTAAAGCGACCTGTTACAGATTTCGTTTTGTTTTATTTTTATAGGATGGGTAGAAAAAAAATTACCATACAGAGTAAAATATAAGAGAAAAATTTTTTTTCATGTTGCAATAGCCCTATGTAATAGGTACCGTATGATCGAGAAAAAACGGCGTTAGCGTTGGCTATGAAATGAAGATCGCTGTCATTTTATATGGGATATTTTTTTCAATCATACGGTATAATACTGCGAATTATATTACATAAGGCTATTTCCGCAACTGCTAAAAATTTAGAAATATTTTAAATAGAAAAATGTGGCGCTTTTTAAGTCTGTAGGTATCTAAAATACTAAAAATAATATACAGTGTGTATTGCATTTAAAAAAAAACTGAGATATAGTATTATAATATTGCAATGTTGGCCGCGCCATAAAAAAATCCCTGTGAATGTGAATTTTTCTCGGATTTCTTCTTTTATCCGATAGCGAGGTATGTACCTATATTATACGTACTTAAGCAATAATATATCAATAAGTTAAATTCACTCCAGGTTTTTACCACTTTTTAAAAGATGAAATTTTTCAAATATGAATTATCATGGAAATCCCGCATAGGTATATAGTGCTTCAAATAAATCAATAGTGTGATGTATGCTGAATCTGAACCCAATTCTGTACAGAAAAATGGTAATGCGATTGCAATTTTAAAGAAAATATTTTTTAGGATATGTACTTTTTTATATAGAACTTCCTCGTACTAATGGCCACCCTATATACATACTAATAAAAATTCTCTTCTAATGTGCCTCACCATCTTCCAGTGCTACGAGCCGCCCCTGGTTCTAAAAGAAAAATTATTTTATATTTTAGAAAGTTTGGCGTAGAATTTTGAACAATATTTATAGCAAAGTTAAGTATAGACCATCTAAAGTAAAATACCTAATATAGTTTTGTTTTTAGGATAGTTCTTGTATATGTAATAATTTTTTAAAGGAAGGTTGAAAAATATATTTTTATTTATTTATTAATATCTCTGAAATTAACAAAATATATTTACTCATATCTCAGGATTGTGTAAAGTGGTCTGAAAGTAAGCCAAAAATGCAGTAATATACAGGGTGCTCCATTAAAAAAATCATCCTGATCCACTAACACTTTTTTCAGCCCTATAGAGGTCAAAATATTTTCCTGGAATACATCTTCGTACATACTTTGGGTTTGCACTTAAACTAAATTCTCAACAAAATAAAACACTAAATCACCACAATACACCAAAACACTTTTCCTTTTACACTGGAGCTCAGATGCCTAACGGCACTATTGCCGGACCCTGTATAGGCCTACTCTCACTTTAATATCTTTGGGTTAACATAAGGTTATAGTAGTCTGTTTTACCAGATTTTGTTACATTCCTAATGATTTCTGTCTAGAGAATCTATATTATTTTTTCAAATACGGTTCTTAATTATAATCTTAATAATTCAAGGTCAATTTTTAATGCTTTAGTTAACCATTAATCAATCCACCATCAAAAATGTGATGTTTTCTAATAAGACTTCATTTTCAGATCACCAAGAATCCTAATCACAAGAGCATACTCCGAGGAGAGCGAAAAAAATTCACAAGGCAATTCACCAAGTAAAGATATAAACAGGAAACATTCCAATTCAGCATCGAATCTTGTAGAGAAGAAATGGAGGACAATAAAATATGAGGTTGGTTCTCAATTAAAACATTTTATTGTGACACATAGGTACATAATTTAGCTTTATTTGTAACTAAACAGGGTGTCAATTTGTACAGGATGAAAAAATTACTGTCTTTACTAGAAACATTTGAAAAACTTAAAAATAAATTACTTTTACATACTGTCTCATGTTGGTAGGATGAAGATTCTGACAGCGATGGTGCCAAGTCCAGTATTACCATGAAACCTCTATTAGATAGCACAACCAGTAACCAATCATCTGAGTCATCGGAAACATCGGAATCTTCAGAAAAAATATTCATGAATATTGATAGCAGAAGAGTCTCGGTAAGTCCACAGTCTCTGTTTTGATTTGCATTGTTTAAATATAATGATTTTTCTAAGCACAGTAACCATCAGGGACCTAGTCTTGCAGAAAATACTTAACTACCTAACATAGAATTAAATAAATAAGTTCAAAAATAATTCACTCAATTTTTCAAGACAACAAATAAATATTGTTATTATTAATATCAATTATAAGATATTATAACTATAACAATATTTACTAAAATATTACATTTGGGTGTTGGAATATTTGATGTTACAACAGCAAAATAAAACACTAATTCCCCAAAATACACCAAAACACTTTACTTTTAAACACCGGACGCGCGTTTCGCTAACTATGTTAGCACGATCAAGCAGGTGATTAAAACCGGAGTTTTAATGATCTGCTGATGATGCTAACATGATTAGGAAAGTCCAATGTTTAAAAATAAAGTATTTTGGTGTATTGTGGAGAATTGGTGTTTTATTTTGAAGTTTTATATCAGTTTCTAATAAACAATATTTATCGTAATTTTACAATATAATATATTTTCTATTCTAATTTCAGATAGAAGCCTCTGAGTCCGAAACCAATGACGATCAGCTCCTTCTAACGTGGAACTGGCACAAAAAGTACAATAAGCCTGAGGACGCCCGTCGTGTACCCAAATCACTCAAAATAAAAAGCAACCTCATAACAACTACCAAAGAAATAGTACTTTAAGTCAAAATACTCAAGTATTACCTCACAGTACGTCTGAGAAAAATGGATATAAGTATATTTTTATATCTTTAGTTTTTTAGAAAATTTTCTTGTCAATAAGTTCCACAAATTTAATATTTCATTTTTCATATACGTTCCATAAATATCAAATTCAATAAAATAAAATAAGATAATTATTATAATAAAATAATGTTCAATTTCCTTGGATATACTCTATATTATACAGAAATAATAACTTATAATATGTAAGTTTTCTGAAATATTTAAAATTTTTATATTTTCATGATATTATAGGTAATTGGATATCTCAAAGGCATAAAAAATATACGCGTCTCAAAAGTTGCTCACCCCTATATACCCCAGTCAAAATAAACAAAAAAATGGGGTTAAATAAAAATAATTCGCATAGAGCTGAAAATTGGTACAGGTCTTAAATACACTATTATAAATGATATCTGAAAAGTCCCCACCGCTCCAACGTCTGCTAAAAAAATTATTTAAGGTCAAAAGTCAAAAATATGCTTTTTTTGCTTTTTTCTCCTAAACAGTAAGCACTATCGCAAAAGTACCTTAAACAAATGTTGTAGACCGTTAAATTTTCTACAATAATGGTTCTTATACTTTTTTCTTACGAACCACCATTCCTGAGATAGGGCGATTTCAAACATCGAAAATACTAATATGCACACATACTAGGCCGCCCAAGTAGCATTTTCACGACTTGCGACCACATGTTTACTAAACACAACGTTGGATTAGTTACAAAAAATAGTTAGCTCCCTACCTTAGGTATTAAAATAAATTTAAACGTTTTTATAACGTTGGGCCGACGTTGGACTAGTACTACAGCAAAGTAGAAGCTTCTGCGACGTCGAATAAACGTTGTCTTGTAACCTTTTTTGCTTAAGTGATCTTTAGGTGATTTGGACAACGTAGTTACAACGTTGGATAATATAGAGTTTTCCGACGTCAGTTTCAGGACCTATTCCAACGTTATGCAAACGTCGTCTGTTTTACTAATTCCAACGTTGTTTAGATTTCCTTATTCTTACGTTGGTAGGACGTAGAGTCACTACCTTTTTGCAACTGTATTGAACCATAACCTTAAATCTTAAATTTTCAATTCATTGTTCTGTTCAGTCAGACAGTTCAGTGCTGTTTTTGTTTTTATAAAAAAAAAACTTAATTAAAATGGGACATAAGAAAGGTACATATAAAACTAAATTTAAATATACATCGACATATATTACCGACACTTCCTCGTTTATTTAGATTATAGAGGGCGGCACAAGCTAGACTCTAGAATGACTAAATTAGGCAATCTTGCGACTAGTATACTACCTGTTAAGGCCGAACTGCGACTTTATTAGTCCAGTATGCGACTACTCGAACTACTCCATCTTAATCTCCAAAACAACAAAGTTAAAGCCGCCATGTTGTTAAATAAGAAAATGTTTCGTTCTTAAAATAGCAATTCCTGCTTTTTGAATACATTAACTTGAAATATTTGACCCTAAAAAATACGCGGAAACAATTTTTTCGAATGCGAATAAATTATTCTCATTTTACTAAAAAAAAAATTCAAGAAAATTTTTAAAACTTCTTTAATTTCAAGGCCCATTAGTATTTTTTAAAGTAGAAACAATACATTTATCAATAAAGTTGTTTGCGTTTAACTTTTTACCTTGGGTAACGAGTTACAGAGTCGGTTAAAGTGTTTCAATAATTATGATCTTCAAACATCCTCCACACTTAAATACTTTTGTTTTGTTTTCCTTCACTGCCATCTGACATATGTCTCTAACTAAATTATAAATATAATATTTTTACTATAATTATCCCAATTTAGGATAAAACGCGACTTAGACGCCATATTAGTTTTGTATTTCTGTGAATTAGGATTTTAAACAACGTTGCAGTTTGTACTAAATTAGGCTTCTAGCCAACGTCGGTATCCAACGTCGTTTCGACCCAAAAATTATTCTCCAAACTAGTGCAGACTAGGGTTGGCACGAGGTTGTGCCGACGTTGCGCCCCGACGTTTGGTCGCGTGACACAACGTTGTCCCGACGTCCAAATGCTGCTTGGGCGGTATACATCATAAGACAATTTAATAAAAATATTGTAACGGGTTTCGCCCATGAACTTGAAACTCGTAATGATTTAATTGATTGCGCAGACGTATTAAAAGATTGACTCTTCACAATGGAGCACCATCTATACAGGGTTGTTCACCACATACGACACGGAGTATTGTAGCTAAACGATTAGATTTTTGCAAATTGTAAGTTTTGGGTTCGTTGAAGGACTATTAGAGCTACAATTTAAAATATTTTTACAAATACAGAGTGTCCCAAATAAATAAAAAATATCAAAGTTGTATTTTTTTTAAATGGAACACCCTGTATATTATTGCATTTTAGTTTCTACGATTAAAATAAAAGGTAAATTTGATAAAGGTTTATTACACTTAAACCTTACTTTTTTGAAATATTTTCAATTTTGTGAAATTGCAGTCAAAATTTTAAAGACTTCATTTCTCCAAAGGGTATCAAAGTTTTAATACTAAATATTTACTGAAGTTTATTTATTGATCAGTTATTGTGTTGCAATAATAAAAGTTATACTACCTTATACAGAGTGTCTAAAATTTTATTTTAAATAATTATTAGCTTTAAACGGCAATAACTTGTTTAATTTAAATGGAACACCCTGTATATTTTATGAGAATTAGATGCACAATTTAATTGTATATCAAATTGTATTATACCATTTTTTATCTATAGCTTCAAGTTTCCGCAGAAAATGCATTTTCTTGTAATTTTAAATTCATTTATCAATATACCCATGGAATACTGACATTTTAGATTATTTTTAAGATGTACCAAATTTTTAAAGAGTACAGATACTAATATTGTCATATAGTTTGTTTATTTCTTTAAAAAATAAAAAAACTCTTTAAATATTTGTTAAAGAGGACCAATTAATATGATTCCAGTATTCAAACTACATTAACTGTTTGCGTTGATTAATAATAATTGCTCCAAAAACTAAAAAACTGAATTTTTTATGAGTATTAGACAGTGTGGTAAAATGTAACACCTTAAAAATGATATTTCATTTTTTGACAAATGCTTATTTGTAACAACAGAGACATTCATTTTTATAACTTATTATTATATTGATTTCTGATTCAAATCCACATTTATTTAGAATAATTTATTCACGAACATAATTAAGTATGTAATCAATTAGTATTTGGGCGGAAATAATGGTGGTATATTTAATTAATGGTATACTCTTTTATGAAGATTTATATAGTTTTCTTTTTGCATACAAATGGGCTAGTAATATTATCATTGTGTTAAAAACGATAATATTACTAGCCTGTACATTTTGTACATTTGCTGCTTTAAAAACAATCTAAAATGTCAATATTCCATGGGTATATTTATAAATCAGGTCAAAATTATAAGAAAATGCATTTTCTAGGAAAACTTGAAGGGATAGGTAAAAAGTGGTATCATACAATTTGATAGACAATTAAATTATGCATCTGATTCTCCTAAAATATACAGGGCGTTCCATTTAAATTAAACAAATTATTTCCGTTTAAAGCTAGTAATTATTTAAAATAAAATTTTAGACACTCTGTATAAGGCAGTATAATTTTTATTCTTGCAACACAATAACTGATCAATAAATAAACTTCAGTAAATATTTAGTATTAAAAACTTTGATATCCTGGAGAAATTTTTACTGCAATTTCACAAAATTGAAAATATTTCAAAAACCGTAAGGTTTAAGTGTGATAAACCTTAATAAAATTTACCTTTATTTTAATCGTAGGATCTAAAAATAGAATAATATACAGGGTGTTCCATTTAAAAAAATACAACTATAGCATTTTTTACTTATTTGGAACACTCTGTATCTTGTAAAATTATTTCTAAATTGTAGCTCTAATAGTCCTTCAACGAACCCAAAACTTAAAATTTGTAAAAATCTAATCATTTAGCTACAATACTCCGTGTCGTATGTGGTGAACAACCCTGTATATGGTGCTCCAAAAAAAAATTATTCTATAGACAAGTATAATAGATATTTAAGTTTTGTTAAAAATACTCGGAACAATAAAATGGGGTACAACTTTCTTGTCTGCCTCCAACATCTGCTTCTGCCTGTCAACAGTTATATCATGTATACTAGCAAGTTCAATTGTGGCTAGGCAATCAACTGAACCCAGAAGACTGGGGTTGGAAATTTATAGGTAATACTTTGGAGCCGATTAAAACTTTACTTCCACCTGCTGCAGAAAAACTACTTAACACAATTTTTTGCTATTGCAAAAAGGGTTGTAGCGCAAACTGTGGTTGAAAATGAGTCGGATTGTTTTGTACACCAAAATGTACTAAAATTGTCAAGGTCAGTCTTGCTCCAATATAGACTTAAATACAGATGAGGATTTTGATGAGGAGACAACTGATGCATCTGTCATACATGGATTTCCAGATATTCCGCAAGAAGATGAGAAAGAAGAAAGCGAAGAAGACATTACTGTTGTATTTGAAGATTAAAATTCTCCCAAAATCAACAATCATCCGTTCTATAATCATTACGAAGAGCATCGTTTTTTAAAATTAATAGTATAATGTATAATAAAACTTAACCACAATAGATCGTAGACTAGGCCTACAACAGGGGAAACCACGTTAAAAAAACGCGTCAAGTACACTACCTCACAGGTGGTGCGGAAATGTGTGCATATTATGAAAAATACGAGTTTTTCAACTTTTGAAATCGCCATATCTCAGGAATGGCGCTTCGTAAGAAAAAAATATAAGAACCATTATTGTAGAAAATTTAACGGTCTACAACATTTGTTTAAGGTACTTTTGCGATAGTGCTTACCGTTCAGGAGAAAAAAGCAAAAAAAGCATATTTTTGACTTTTGACCTTGAATAATTTTTTTAGCAGACGTGGGAAAGATTTTTAGCATATCATTTATAATAGTGTATTTAAGACCTGTACCAATT